CAAAGAACAGATTTTCTAATCAATAAATTATTTGTTTGAAAATAGTTTATCATGAAATGATTATACAGTTAAATCAAATTTGATAAAATATAGAAATAGATTAAATCTTTAATTAACTTACACATATTCGATATAATTCAAGTTCTTGATCTAATGCTCGTTTAACAGGTAATTTCTTTTTGGATAAAGCAATTTCTCGTTTTTCTTCTTGCATTTGTAATTCTAATAATCGTATTTCATCATCTCGACTTCTCAATTCAATATAAGCATTTTTTAATTTTGCATCTTGAACATTAACTTTTTCCTAAATAAAATATTTTAATAACAAAAAACAAAATCGAAAACAACATAATACAAACTTGAAAAACAACTTCTTCATTATATCTTTCAACAAGTTGTACACTTCGTTCATTTCTATCCAAAACAGCTGTATCATAATCTTTTCTTAATCGAACTAATTCTTTTTCAGCAAATGCAATTAAATTATTATAATTTCGATTTTCTAATGTTTGTTGTTGATCTTGTATATTAAGTTCACGTAAATAAGTACGTTGTTTTTCAACTTTATGTTTTTCTCTATCACGTTCAACAACAGATGCTAATACAAGTAAATTTTTTTTTTGTAAATCTTTTTCTAATATACTTAATTTTGTACGTAAAATTTCAATTTCATTTTGAAGTAATTTTAATTTTTCTTTCATTTCATTTGATTTTTGACTATTTATTTGTATTGAATTAACACATTTATTACGTTCATTTTTAATAATATCATACATTGATGCAAATTCTTTTAATTTAACTTCTAAATCAACAATACGTTTTTCATGTTCATGAATTTCACCTGTTTTTCGTTGAAAATCTTCTTGTACAGCTTGTAAACGATTTTTAGCTTTCATTTTTTCACGACATTTTTGTTCACGTTCATTTGATACAACAGATGCAAAATGTGCCATTGATACAGCATCACGACGATAATCACTTTGTTTTAATAAAACTTCTTCATGTTCTTTTTGAGCTGTTATTAACATACTTTGTTTAACAATAATTTCTTTTTCCTAAATTTTTCTTTCGGATATTATAATTGAAAATATATAAATAAATAAATAGAAAAACCTGTTTTTCATGTGATTTTGTTAGATTATCAATATCTTCTTTTAAATTATCTTGTCGAATTTCAAGATCAGTATCATCAGTTGGCATTGCTGCTCGCTGAAAAAAAAAA